CTGAGAAAAAACAAGATTTGTTTTTTAAAAAGCCTTTTTCCAAAAGGTACATCTGGAAAAAGGGGGGTCGTCTTATATTCGGGCCAATACGGTAGTTGCTGTGAAGCAGAAAAAAGTGTGGGGATATGAAGGCATTATCCAGTAGTGAACCGATCAGACAGTCGTCCCCATCATGTTCAGAAGCACTTGAACTTATGAAGACCTGTTCACTGCAGCACCTCTGCAGCTGTTGGTCATAATGAAAGGTTATTTCATCGTGGCTGGAAAATTGCATACGTACTTCGCCGAACCCCCCACTTCCCCCTGAGGGTGAAATACAGGGCAATACTATCTATATGGCGCTGTCGCAGCCCTTCTGGCTATCCGGTTGGTTGGTAGGAAGTTATCTGCGCTGCTATTAGATCTGTAAAACGATTAAGCCAGTGAACTTTGCCGTCAACAGCCATTTAACCTGCAGCCTTTGTGATTTGACGTGATGTCAGTGAGCTTTAATATAATGTAGTGGATGTGTATGTTAAACTAAGCTTGTATAGCAGCTATATCGCTCCTCAGAATATACGTTGGCACGATAGATTGGGGAAGATCTGTGGTGTTCTTGAGCTGAACTCTTCTGAGAATAGTGATTAAGGCTCAAAAGTGAACTGCCATTCAATGTATTGATTAAACTTCTAGGATGTCCTGCTTTGTTGGCCATTTATATGTCAGAAAGTCACCAAACTGAAGATCCAACATGACAAATTAAAGCTCTAAAATCAATTTTCCGAGTATTTGAGAAACGTGGCGATAGTTAAAGCATTTTAAATCACGTGCGGAGGATGGCATGAAGTTTCAGGCTAAACGTTGACATTCCGTTGCAGTAAATCTGTGTTAGAGTCTAAAATGGGTCAACATGACCCACAGAAGCACAGAAAGCCAAACTCATTTAAAGCTCACAGCTTGCCTTTAAAAATAAGCATCACATTTGAACTGAAGAGAAGGAGAGTCATCAATATACAGCCAATCATTTTGATTTATTTCGCGTTCTAAAAGGAATTTAAACAGTTCTTGACAATGAAAAACCTACACTAACATTCAAAAGTTTGAAGCCTGCATTTGTTTGATCAAAAATACAGTAAAAACAGTAATATTGTGAAATGTTATTACAATTTCAAATAACAATTTTCTATCTTACTGTCCTTTGAGTTGTAATGTATTCCTGTGATTCCTGTGATCATTACTCCAGTCTTCAGTGTCAGATGATCCTTCAGAAAACAAAATCACAATTCCTTGGCAAATAAAGCTCATTCTGATTCTGAGAAATCATTCTAATAGGCTGATTTGCTGCTCAATAAACATTCATTATACTGTTGAAAACAGTTGTGATGCATAGTATCCATTATACATTTTTTCCAGGATTCTTTGATTGACCGTTTAAAGGGGTCATAGGATGCTACATGCATACAGTTGTTTGAACTGAAATGTGTGTTGGCAGTGTGTGTACACAACCACCCTATAATGATAAAAATCCACCCAGTGGTTTTTTAAAAAATCTCATTAAATGTTTTCCCCTTTCTCAAATCGAGCCGATATCTTTGGTGTTAACAAAAGAAAAAATAAGCAATTTAGTCACCATCATGTTGTTTCAGTTTTTTTTTATCATAGGCCTAGACAAAAAAAGATGCTATGAAAGTCTGATGCTCTGACTAACATAGGCTATTCCACAGAAGAAAGAAAGAAACGCAGGTTTGGCATGACATGAGGTCGAGTAAATGATGACTGTTTGGACAGTTTGCTGATATAAATTCAGATATAAACATTGAAACCCAAAATAAGAAATATGAACCATGATCTTAAGATTGAGTTCCACGGATTTAACGCAGTAAAATGATACGAAGGCTCCGCCTGCTGGCAACTGAAATATTTTCTTTTCTTTCTTTTTTTTCTAACAGCTACAAAAAGTCAAATCTGTTGTTCTTAAATGCGCAGTTACATTGTGCAAGCAAGCAGCGAGTAATTTTAAGGATCTTATTTCAGCTAAAAAACTTATATATTTTACATTTTAAAGTATTTATACATAACGTAGCCTACATTTTCTAATAAAATTAAAATATGAGATTTATGAATGAGATTCATTTTCATGTGCGTTTATAGACGTGTTTTGGACGGCTCATATCGTCCAATCTTTGACGTTTAATATAGAGAACGGGGCAAAAGGGACTGCTATGGGTGGTCTCATTCATCAAAAAATGAGGAAAAAAAACAAGGGGGGAAGGGGAAATGAGGAAAAAAATAAAGGGAAAGTGCAAAAAAATAAGGGAAAAAAAGGGGAAATTAATTGAAAGTTTTTTTTTTAACAGTTTTTCACCTTTTCACTTATTTTAACTAACAAATTACAGAAAAGTCAATATTTCGACCTATTTTACCTCATCACAAAACAACTCCTTATATTCCTTTTTGTCAAATTGAAAGAATAAGACATACAAAACATACATCCACAAATACGGTTTATTCCAAAAGCTCAAATATGACACGCATACATAATAATCAGAAGTCAGAAAGAGCTTTATTGCCAAGTATGCCTGCGCATACAAGGAATTTGTTTTAGTGTCACAAGCTTCCAGTGCACAGAGACAACAACAACACACAGACAATAAAAATAACATGAGAATAAAAATACGCATATGCAAATATAAATAAACAAAAACAGAAAATGTAATTGAAAAGTAAAATAAATTGTATGTACAGTTGTGATATAGATAGAATAGAATAGGAATAGAATAGAATGAGATGTAGGGATGTACTAGGATGTGGGGTATTAAGAATAGAAATATATACATGAAAATTACACACACACACACACACACTTAAATTTAAAGAACTATAATAACAATATTACTAATAATACTTACATAATAATAATAAACTTTAAAATCTGACCTTTAAATAATAAAAATGATGTATGTAAATACAATTTTAAATAACTAGGAATTGTAACAAATCGTTAGTAATGGTTAGGCTGTCCGATCGCTGAAACTGTATTAATTTCAAATGTTGTTAGGAAGTGTTAGGAAGTGTTCAGCCGGCCGATCGCTGGAAGGTACGGCCACGACTACCTGAAATACATACGCCTTTTGGGAGAATTTTGTAGGATACTGAGATTGAGAACGACTGTAACGTTAGCTCAAGTTCACATGTTAGATTCAGATCTACACACCGCTCACTATATGAAGCTTCAGACATGTAGTTGATTTTACTAGCCTATATATTTTTTTTTCACTCCTGACAATCCCAAGCTAACCATCAGAGGTCACTGTCACTCCAGTAACGTTACTGAGCAGCACTGATTGTTGTGAATAGCTTCAAGTCTGTGCAGTGGCTATTTTTATGTATAGTGCTTCTTCTTCAAGACCTGTGTGTTTTGGATTAGTTTTGGCGGTTCTGTATGTTTTTTTCCTCCTTTTTTTCTATATTTTGATCCTAAAATGCCTAAAATGCCTTTGGCATTCTGACACGGCCTCTGCATTGCAAATTCTGCCACTTTCTTGATCACTTTTATATAAACAAGCCGGTGACTCAGCCATGGACATGGTTAGGTACTGTAAATACAAAATAAATGAATGCTTTTTGAAGAGTAAATGACTATGTGAGGTTTCTCAGGCTTTTGTGATGGGCAAAATGATAACTCTGAAAGAGGTAAGAGCATGAAAATCAAAGTCAGTGGAACTGAAGTGTTGATGTTTCACAATGTTGTTTGTTTACAGCAAACAAAAACATCAGATAAAAGTATTTTTATTATATTGTTTGATATGACTTTTGAGACCACCAAAAAGACTGATGGCTGACATTCTTGGGTGGGGGGAAACTGTGATGGCATAATCTTGCATTACTTTTTAAATAAAAACACAAGTGAAACTATTTTGTTTTCAAATATATTATCATTATTGGAAAACTTTTATCTGGCAAATCAAAGTAAGTTTTGCAGCTGACGTGCAGGAAGCCATTCTGTTTCCATTTAACAAGAAAATCACAAAACTGTCAATTGTTTTAAAACAAATAATAAACACACACACTCTAAAAAATGCTGGGTTAAATATAACTCAACCGCTGGGTCAAAACAACCCAATAGTTTAACAAGAAAATCACAAAACTGTCAATTGTTTTAAAACAAATAATAAACACACACACACACTCTAAAAAATGCTGGGTTAAATATAACTCAACCGCTGGGTCAAAACAACCCAATAACTGGGTTTGTCCATACTTTACCCAGCGCTGGGTTGTATTTAACAAATTTTTTTTTTCGATTTATATATATATATATATATATATATAAACACATATATACACACACACACACAGAGAAAAACAAGTAGATAGAATATAAAGAAAGAAAGCTAGTGTTAGTTTTTTTTATAAAAAAGAAGATAAATTGATAACGTAGAATTAAAATAGAATAGAAAGTGCAAGTTAGAGGGTCAAATAAAGATGGAACAGATTTTTTTTTTACTGAAAAAAGCTTTTTAAAACATGAAACCAACATAAATATATAGGCTATATATATATAGAGAGAGAGAGAGACAGAGAGAGAGAGAGAGAGAGGACATTTGTTTTAACTAAATGTTTATTATCTTAACCTTGTCTTTGATCAGTTTAAGTGGCAGGTATTATGTAAAATTCAGCATGGAAAATCAAATATGATTATTGTTGATCATTTAATTATATTCACATAACATATGAAAAAAGAAAGAAAGAAAATAGGCTAGGCTACTTTCTTCATGTGCGCACACAAACAGTGTGTCATTTATGGAAAAATACATGTTCTGTAATACCAATAAAAACTACATGCTTGTTTTTATTCGCTGTGTGACTTAAATCTATCGGTTTCTGTCAAGGCTCCATCTCAATGGAGTTAACACGCCGAGGAAAATGGAGAACAGATGACAAGAGCCGCTGCTCCGAAACAAGACTAAACCCGAGCCGTCTACACGCAGAAGCGCATTTTCACGCGCCCAAGAGCCTAAAGACAGTAGCAGGCGCTCAGGAAGCGTGTTGACAAACGCGCAACGCAACAAACATCGCACTGAGCGGCGAGTCGGAGCGCGGGTCACGTGACTCCCGCACAGGCCTGCAGTCTGTTGTCGGCGGACAGAGAGGAGGAAAGAACATGGCGGCTGCGAGCGAGCTCGAGCGGCGCGCCGGCCTTTCGTCTTGAGCTTTCTCGCGTTAACCGAGACCGGGGCTCCGCGGGTCTAGTGCATCCTCACCCGCGCGGGATCAACTTTGCGGTGGTGCCCGAAATTCCGGGTTCGGTGCGTGTAAAGTGCAGGCAAAAAGCGAAACTGAGGAGAATAGGTTTTTATCCATAATGAGGGGGAGACGAGGCAGGCCGCCCAAAGCCCAGCTAACGCAGGAGCCCACAGCGGGGTCGGTGCGCGGTCTGAGACCCCGCCGGGACTTAAGGGCGAAGCCGAAAGGGACCTCCGATGAGGATTATGTCACCCCTAAACGAGGGAGCCATCATCCTACAACACGCGGCCGGAGGAAAGCGCGATCCGCGGCGTCGAGGGGCAGAGGAAGAGGCAGGGGTACGGCCAGAGGCAGGGGGCGGCGGAGCGCCGCGAGCGGGGTGGTTTACGACGACCACGAGAGCGACGATGAGGAGGATGAAGACGCGGTCAGCTTGAGATCGGACGAGGAAGAGTGCATGGAGGAGCCTCTGACGGACGAAGAGGAGGAGGAAGAGGAGGAGGAGGCCAACGACGAGTCCGACTACCTGGAGGAGCTGGACTATTTGGAGGAAGACGATGCCAGTTTCTGCACGGAGAGCAGCCACGGCAGCAACGCAGGTACGGGACGCCTCGCGACCCCGCGAACGACCGATCCGTGAATCACGATGAGCGCAGGGTCCGACTCAAACGATCGCTCTTTTGTTGCGCTAAACGCTCAAAATGGATCCTGGTGCTCCTCTGTGCTGGCAAAGGCCGCGGGGTTAGCGGTTAGCTTGAGCGCGGTAGTCGTTTGTGATCAAATTGCAACTGCGGGGGTGTTTTTAGCATAAAAAATAGCTTTATAATTAAGCTCTGAACCTAAAAGTCTTGTCTTCCATTGTGCGAAAGCAAAGCCGTTTTGAATATCAACAAAAACTTCGGTTTACCGTTCAATTGTGTATTTGCTAACGTTAGCCTGTTAGCGTATTAAACCCAGACACACGCTGGATTGTGTTTTAAATATAAATATCACTAAATCATGCGTTTTTGTTGTATGATTGCACTTTTATTGAGGTTAGACTGTAAAGGGAACACTTTTTAGTCTCACACAAGCACAACAAAAGTTAGTTAGCCCATCATCTTGCTAATTGACTTCAAGCTGATAAGATTTTTAATTTACTAATAAAATGATCAGCATATTCCGTAAACTTTCATTAAAGCACCGCCGGATCTTATATTGGAGTGTCTTTATTACTATCCACGCTCATTTGCATGAGTGTGTGGCAGTCTGGCTGGTGTTTTGGAGCACGTAGCCAAAGCTGGAGTGCGGCTAATGACAGGGCAGCATGCGGCCGGTTGTTTTGAAATCCAGCGCCAGCGCCGTCGCACCTGACTCGGGAGGACGCTTAATTTCGTCTCGCTACTGTGTCGTGCTCGCACATGACTTCACAGTGCCACTTGTGATGTAGTTTTTGGTACTGTCATGATTAATTACCCGCCCTATGGGAGATAATTAGGGCTGAGATGTTTTTTTTTTTTTTGAGTGACAGTTACACTGTTTTTTATTGTAATATATTTTAAAATGCCATTTATTCTTTTGATGGCAAAGTTTACTCCAGTCTTCAGAGTCACATGATCCTTCAGAAATTATTCTAATGTTCTGATTCGCTGCTTATGAAACATTTATGACTGTCAGCATTGAAAAGAGTTTAAATTAATTTAAAAATATTATTGTTTTCAACATTGATTATAACGAGAAACGTTTTCTTGCACACCAATTGAGAATATTTTTTGAGGAAACGGACACTTTTTCAGGATTCTTTGATAAAGTTCAAAAGAACGGCATTTATTTGAAATATAAATATTTTGCAACATTCTAAATGTCTAACTTTTGATCAATTTAACGTGACTCTGCTCAATAAAAGTAATTTAATAATTTCTTTACAAAAATAAAATAAAACTAACCCCAGATTTTTTAAACGGTGTGCATCATTTTTATTTCAGTCATTAAAACATACATTTAAATTTTTTTTTTATTTTTTTTTACCATTTACAGATTCAAGTGTGTTGTTGCTTTCATTGTTTTATAAAAAAAAATCACAGGCTGATATCCTGTACATGTTCATTAGATTCTCGATTCATTTGATTCTGTTTAAACGCGGTCTATGCAGACAAATGTAATGCAAAAATCTTCTTTTTCCTTTGGGAATCACAAATATTAGCTGTTGTTTTAATACCGCATACATGACCACTGAACGCTATGTTCCTCGTTGTCTTATTTCTTAATTGCTAAGTTTTTAATCAGATGCCTGATCATTCATGTCTAACTGCACACACAGCTTGTCTGAATCAACAATGTGTTTTTTTTCTGAAACTGAACATTTTTGCATGTATTATTTTATCCAATGTTAAATCTGTCATCAAATCTTATATAAACAGACACACCATAACAACTAATTAGAGTCATTAGTAAAATTGCAATTTGCATTGAGACTTTATTTTCCTTCGTGAAAATGTAACGTTGACTTCCGGTCAATCAAAAACTGATTCTGATGCTTTCTGTTTTAGTAGGTCGTAAAAGACCAAGACCAAGGCGACCGCCTTCTCCTATTCTGGAGCAGAAGGAGATTCCTCTTCTGAAGCTGCCCAGTTCCTCTGAGGACCTACTCATTCCCAACGAGCAGCTACTAAACGCTTCGGCTATTTACGAGGTGCTTCGCAGTTTCTGCACTGTCCTGCGTCTCTCTCCGTTCCGCTTCGAGGACTTCTGCACCGCTCTGGTCGGACAGGAGCAATGCACGCTGATGGCGGAGACGCACATCTGCCTGCTCAAGGCCATCTTAAGGGAGGAGGACACCTCCAACACCACTTTTGGCCCGGCGGACCTCAAGGACAGCGTCAACTCCACGCTCTACTTCATCGACGGCATGACCTGGCCAGAAGTGGTGCGTGCATACTGCGAAAGTGACCCCGAGTACCACCACGTGCTCCCTGACCTGGAGGGTGAAGACTATCCGTTTAGCCCGCTGGAGAGCAAAGTCAAGGTCTTGCAGTTCCTGGTGGACCAGTTCCTCACCACCAACCTGGCCCGCGAGGAGCTCATGTCCGAGGGCGTCATCCAGTACGACGACCACTGCCGGGTTTGCCACCGGCTCGGCGACCTGCTGTGCTGCGAGACCTGCTCGGCCGTGTATCACCTGGAGTGCGTCAAGCCTCCGCTGGAGGAGGTGCCCGAGGACGAGTGGCAGTGTGAGATCTGTGTGGCGCACAAAGTGTCCGGCGTGACCGACTGTCTGACCGAGTTCCAGAAGAGCCGGCCGTACATCCGGCAGGAGCCCATTGGTTACGACCGGCATCAAAGAAAATACTGGTTTCTCAACAGGAGGATTATTATGTGAGTATTCGCAATGTAAACTACTGAAGATAGGGCATTATTAAGAAAAAAAAGGTGTCATATTTGTCATTTCTAATGCCATGAACCTTCTTACAGTCCGATTTATTTGTATAGCAGCTTTACAGTAGGTCATATAGTAATGTTTGTAATATCTTAAAGTCCGCATGAAATAAAAATTTACTTTATTTACTTTACTAGCACACATTGCTAGTCTTGATGTGAACAATTAATCCGTGCAAGTTAATCCGCTGAAAAAAATAGTTTGTCTTGGTAATCTTTAATCAAAATCTGATCATTTGCTTCCGCTCTGGAATGGCATTCCTTCTCTAATGACGTCAGTTTGACAGCTTGGGCAGAATATCCTTAAACACACCCCTCCAACCGTTAGGCTGCTATGAGTGAGAGATAGAGAGGAGGAGTGCAAAAATAAAACCATGCCCTCTATTCAATATTCCTTTTCAGCTGGAAATACGTCACTACACTGAAATAAAGTCGGCAGCAACTTCCGGTTCACGTGGACTTTAAAGGGGTCCTATTATGCTCTTTTACAAAGTCTTGATTTTGTTTTGGGGTGTACTAGAACAGGCTCTCATACTAGGTTCGAAAAACACATTATTTTTCACATATTTTACATTATTACAACACCTCTCTCCCCAGTCTGGCATGAACGGCTCGAATAGTTCCTGTATCAAATGAAAGCCCGCCTTCTGAAATATGAAATGTGCTGTGATTGGTTAGCTGGGCCAGTGTGTG